TCTAGCTAAAGAGGAAATTCTTAAAGGATAGTAATTTCTCTCAACAAAAGCCTTCCCATACCTTTTACACAAGTGTATGAAATTTTGCAGAATTTTCACTGGATGAGAGGGTTCTTAAACCAAAGTGTGAGGCTTTACAAAACCTCTGAGGTAGAATTTCTGGCCAGAAAGAAACAGGGTATACGTGATGCGAGTGTGAAAGTTCCAGGTTCAAATCTCTGCCCTGACTGACAAAGAAACTGGACTTCTACATCCCAGGAAGTGACCAACATATGATGCTGGCTGGTGCTGGGTAGGATCTCTCACTCTCGTTTGGAGCTGTCCTGCTTCATATAAATACACATTGGGTGAGAATCTCCTGTATAAGCCACTGAGTATGGCACTCGGATTAATTTGAAAAGATTTTATGTGAAGTCAAAGAGCTCCAACAGAAGATGAGTGTCCCACGTGAGAACAGCCAGTGGCATGGAGATCTGCTCGAATTTTGAGGTTTAGATATGTTTAAAGACTTGAACATTGTTCTCTTATATGCCAGGTAAGTGCCTGTTTGCATGGTGGTGACTGTTCTGGTAGGGTATTGGATATTTAAACTTTGTACTGAAAGAGTTGCATGGAACTACTAATGAATTCCTTCAGACTCAGTCTAACTCAACTCTTGCGAAACTTCTTCTTGCCTGTGTTATTTTAACTTCACCCGTAATCTGCCCACATGAGTGGAATTTATATAGACGTAGATTAATCTGATTTTTAAAGCCTGATTTTAGGAAAACATATCATACACTGGGTTGAGGATGTATATTGGTTTTAACCTGACCAAATTCAAATAATTTGATCATTTGTATTTACAAATATGGAGAGAGCTTATAGGATTTTTTGTCCCCCCCTGAGGATATGTTTGTACCACTTCACCTATGAATTATTCAATCAAGAGTAATTCTGAGATTTAAAAATGTGCTTCCCTGGTATAAAATAGTACACATTAATTCTATTACTCTTTTATATCTCATCTGAAATAACTGATGAGAGTCTTCAATCTTGTGCTCGCTACTTGCTGGAAAAGCCTTTACTTAAAAGAAGCTGCTGCTGGTATGTTTTCCCCCAGTAGAGACAATTGTCTATGTTAATTTATCAGGAAAGATGAGATTCAGAGTGACATCCTAGCTGATATGTTTTCATTCAGTTTGGAAAGTGACATTAGAAATTGTTACTAATTGCCACTTCTGAATGACCTTGTAAGCGATAAGCTACATTGCCATGTAATTATTGCAGAAGAGCAACGTTCAACTATTTCTTTTGTCTTAATTGCCTTTTGATCAGCTCTTCACATGTGTGAATGTTTCTGAATGCTGTTTACTTAATAACCTTTCAGAGTAAAGGCTGTTTATAGATTATATGCATCCAGTCTAATGTTTTGCCATTTCATGGTTAGTATTGATAGCACCAATCCGAAGAAGTTCATTAACAGTGCTGGAAGGAATGTAGGAGTTGCCTTAGTCACTGAACCAGTAAGAACTCTCAAAGAAAAGTCAGTGGTAGTTAGACCGAACCTTTGACATAACTACCAGTACTGCACTTAAATGGCTGTGGCTAGAGGTGTGGGTGCATGAGGGCTTGGACAGAATCACACGTTCTGTTCTCTTTTAGGATTTGAGATATGATTTGAGGTTGTTTCTGACATCTTCCTTTTAAAAATGTAACTTAAACCTTTTATGTGTGATTATCTCCTTTTCTGCCTAATGGAAATTTTAAATTACTGAGATGCTCCATGAAGCTTTTTTTTTTTAAAAAAACAGATTTGAATTTTAGAATATATTACAATCCATAAGGACAATCATAAGGACTACCCTGACTCTTTAACTGGCACGTCTAAGTAAAAAAGGAGATGGGAAAAACGCCCAGAGCATATCCTCCCATATAATCCTTTATTATAACCACAGAATAAAATCAAGCAGTAAAGCCTCTTATGTCTGTAAATACCCTTACCATACAAATAAAATAATATTATGAGAACTTAAATGTTATTAGTCTTCATGTAGAGCTGGGGGAGAGAAGACAGTTTATAATAGCAGCCTTGTAGTGCTATTAGTTTGTAACAATAGAACTGAATAATTGACATGTTTTATCTTACTTGTCTGCATGTCACTTCCAAAGCATTCGGGTTCCTGCTTCTGAGTGTGAAGAAGACTCTACCAAATAATTACATTCAGTATTAAATAGCGCTGTTAAGGGAAGCGAAGGGGTTGTGCTGGGAATTTCCAAGAGGCAGAAAGAGAAGTAAGGGTATCCTTACCTTTTACAAGGTCATAACCTGACCAGAGAGAATGGTGCCCACCAATTTCACTTGCATTGTCTCCGCACAATTCTGACATCCATTTAAATTCTATGGACAATCAATAAATAAAAATGTAATCAGCTGAAAGACATCATTTCAATGGCACAAGAAGTTAGAAATGAGCTATGCAGGGACGTTCTCCAGCCAGCCACCGGTAACGGTAAACTGTTAGTAATTCCTGCTTAGTAACCACCTGCTTCTAGCAGGTGCGTGTCGCAGCACAGCAGACACTCTTGGATCTCTCTGCGGGGTCTGTGGATTTAAGCTTCCGTGGCTGTCAGGGCAAATGGTTTTGAGTGATAAATTCACCTTTTTTAGAAACAGATGCAACTGTGGATGGCTTCTTACAAGTACACTCTGAGATAGAAGCATTATGGAGCTAGAGCCCCCCAAGGACACACTGTTTTATGTGTTCATATAACAAGTATATGTAATTGACTATAAGTGCGTTCTTAGAAGGTAACTTGGACCTGGTACTTTTTGTCTCTTTGAGCATGATGCTTATCCTTCAGATGGCTTAGTTTTCATTGTTATAAAGCAGCATGTGACAAAGCATGCTAAAAAAATTATTAGTGCTGTGTCTTTAATCTTCCTTTTCTTGCTCTCCTTTATAATTTCTCTTCTTGCACTGTCTGGCTACATATCTGAGAGCTACCAGGTTTACCATCAAATTCTTGTTTACGCTTGACTTTATGATGGAAACATTCAGCCTTATGAGTAATAAGCTCATTAAGCCTAGTTTGCATCAGCCTAAGCTGCTTTAACTCTAAGCCATGGAGATGCCTTTTGTGAGGGGCTCTCCAATCTCACAATTCGTTCCTTTAGAGCCTTAATTTTGTCAATTTTCTGTGTGTTTTTTTTTTATCTCCTCTATCAACCTTGTTCCAGGAGACTTTTGGAGCCTTCTGACAGGTTAAAAAGTTTCAACAGGCTACGATAAATGTAATTAAAAGTGATTAAATTAGTCTGCTGTGCTGACCTTATGGTCTCAGAGTAAATGCCAGTATTAGGCAGGCAGAGGAACAGGCTTAGTGCTTGGGCTTGTTTGCTGGGATTTTTTTAGTTTGTTTACTCACTAGAGAAAATCAGAATGTGTTCACATATTCAGAGCTGGCTACTGCTTCATCCTCTTTATACCTATCTTGTGTAAGAGAAGAATAATATTTTAAACTGGAGGTGGCTCCACATGGTAAGACCAAGTGTGTTTCCTAACCCTGCCCCAAACCTTCAGAAAAACTGGTGGGGGACTTGATTTTTGTATTATTTCTTAGCTTTTCCTTTCCCCGTCTTGATATTTTACTAGGCACAAAATATATAAATGAACAAAATTACTGCTCAGTTTTCTAGCTTTTTCAAAAGATTAGATCAGTGTCCTTGTAATAAGAGATTTGTGACATCTTATGCATTATTAATACTAGCTTGTATTCCGGTTTGATTTTTGGATAAATTTGTCCTTGATGTAGGACTATGAGAGACTAATTTGTTACACCAAAAGTTCAGCCATACATCAGAGTTTAGGATGTGCCATCATCTTGCAGTGTAGGCAGGTAAATTCTGTGCCTACCATAGGCATTCACTGGCCTCTTTGGAAAGTATTCCATGTAGTCATACCCTAGAATTTTCTAGATTGTCACAAAAACTTCCTTTCCTCTTTCTCTTGCAGTCTTCTAATTAATTCCTTACTCTGACAAAAAAAAAACCAACTCAACCTGGGTGCAAAATTAACTTGTAACCTTAGAAACATTACAAGTCAGTTGTAGTTACTTGCCATGCTTTTCTTTCCTTTTTACAATTTCCTATTACTGATTTTCTGTAAAATGCTAATTTCCAGTCACAAAAGTATTTGGAGACTAATTCTTTGAGTAGTTCCTAAGTAAAACCCATGCATATGAGTAGCGCTACTGAACAAACGTTGAATTCTGAATATTGTTGGCAATACTGTGTATGATTTTCTTTGCAGCCTCAATTGGATAAGTTGTCAGGGTTCGTGTGTGTTGTTCAGTGGTGCTAATCCATAGTTCCTCCTTCCAGTTGGACAGAAATGCCCTGTTTGTTAAGCCTTAAAATGCTTTGGGATCCCTTGAAATGAAGGGGATCGTATGAAAGCGCGATGCTTGTTATTAGATGTTTGTAAGGTTCAAGGATGTGTTGAGTTTTGGAAGACTGTCATTATAGGAGCAGGTTCTACTTTGATAAATTATAAAAATGACTGTGAGTGGCTCACAGCTCAGTTATCATTATTCCCAGTGCTAATTATGTGTCAGAATTACTCAAAACGCTGTATCAGACATGGTGTGCATATGCATTACCTGTATAATCATGAAACTGCGCTTTTTCCAGGGTGAAATTACTTTGGGCTCTACTCCACACACCCTTCCTTTTAAGGCTCCTTTCTCACCCAGGCAGGCCCTATGATTTCAGGGAAACTAGTTAATCAGGGTAAGGATGTTCATGACAAGCATTTAAACTAGTTTACACTGTGGGGAAAAACTTTAAAATACTTTACAGAAAAGGTTGTGAAGTATTTATTCCTTGCAGTCTTTCAATTCTCACTGCGGACATCCGAGAACAAAATATATCTTTGTCTGCTGATTTATAGACTGTGAGAACTTATCCTGTATCATGTGAAGATGTTTTAAGACTTGTTTTGTTTTGTTTTTCTTCCCAGCTTCTGGAGAAAACCAACAATATGTTTGAGGAATCTGATTCTGCAGCTACGAAAAGTCCTTTGCATTTAGCTGTAAGTGTGAGACGTATAAAGTTTGATCATTATCTCCTAGAACAGTTCCTTAATCTCTGTCTTTGAAGCAGGTTTAATCATAGACTTGTTTTGAAAAAGCTGGGAAGGGATATAGGCCTAGACGTAACAGAAACAGGTTCTGGGCTGGAATCGTTAATTAAGTTTTTGACAGTTGGAGCTCTTGGTTCTTATTGAGTCTAACACTTGGGTAAGAAGAAGACACAGACACTGAAGTGAAATTAAATGTAAAGTTGCGACTTATAACTAGTCTATAAATTTGGGTCTAGAGCTTGAGCCTATGGCTTTGATCATGGAATGGGATACTCTGATGCTCTCCTGGAGATGCGCAGAGTGCAAAAAGGTGTCTGGTACACAGCAAGGTGTGGGAAGGCATGCTTAAACCTCAGCGGTGCCCTGGGAATGTGCCACGGAAACTGTGCTATCAAAAGGGGATCCAGCATATGTGGCCTCAAAGATCACAATAGCTTCCCTTTCCCAAGAGTTCAAGATTCATGATCCCTCTTCCCAGTTTACTTGTGCAGAATTACAGAATAGTTGAGGTTGACGTGGACCTCTAGAGATCAGCTAGTCCCACCTCTGTGCCAAAAGCAGAGTCAGCTAGAGCAGGTTTTCTCAGGGCCATGCCCCATCACATTTTGAATATCTCCAAGCATGGAGAGCTCACAGCCTCCAGGCAATTTATTCCAACGTCTGACCACCATCACAGTAAAAAATGGGTTTTTTGCATTAAATTTGGCTGCATCAAGAGGAGCATGGCCAGCAGGTCGAGAGAGGTGATTCTCCCCCTCTACTCTGCCCTTGTGAGACCTCACCTGGAGTACTGCGTCCAGTTCTGGAGCCCCCAACACAAGAAGGACATGGACCAGCTGGAGAGGGTCCAGAGGAGGGCCACGAAGATGATAAGAGGGCTGGAGCACCTTTCCTATGAGGACAGGCTGAAAGAGTTGGGGCTGTTCAGCCTGGAGAAGAGGAGGCTCCGGGGTGACCTTATAGCGGTCTTCCAGTACCTCAAGGGGGCCTACAAGAAAGATGGGGAGAGGCTGTTCAGGAGGGCCTGTTGTGATAGGACAAGGGGTAATGGTTTTAAAATAGAGGGAGGTAGATTCAGATTGGATATTAGGAAAAAATTTTTTACCATGAGAGTGGTAGAACACTGGAACAGGTTGCCCAGAGAGGTGGTGGATGCTCCATCCCTGGAGACATTCAAGGCCAGGTTGGACGAGGCCCTGAGCAACCTGATCTAGTTGGAGATATCCCTGTTTGTTGCAGGGGGGTTGGACTAGATGACCTTTGAAGGTCCCTTCCAGCCCTAACCATTCTATGATTCTATGATTCTAAATGGAATTTCCTGTGTTTAAATTTGGGCCTATAGCCTATTGTGATTAGGAGGCTGTGACAGTGATGGATTTTATTGGCATTTTATGTGAAAGTCTTAGAAAGACAAGAGTTGTGTTCTTTACATGACGTATTTCATATTTCTAGGCCTATAATGGTCATCATCAAGCCTTGGAGGTACTTCTCCAATCTCTGGTAGATCTGGATATTAAGGACGAGAAGGGACGCACTGCTTTGGACCTGGCTGCCTTTAAAGGACATGCAGAGTGTGTGGAAGCTCTCATCAGCCAAGGTGCTTCTGTCACTGTAAAAGACAATGTCACCAAAAGGACCCCTCTCCATGCCTCAGGTGAGCGTGATCTTACGTTACGCTTGTGCTATAAACGCTACAACACAGAAGCAGGTACCTTGACCTACCTACTATCCCTGTGCACGTTTCTTGTAAACAGAAGAAAGAGATTTTGACTTGTATTGAGAACTGCTGCTTGTTGGCTGAGGTCCTACGCTTAACTCTTATCTTTCATTTCCTTGGTCTTTTTTCCTCTGTCCCCATGGTTCAGTCCTGCCTCCTTCCGAATCCCATATTTTTCCACACCCCTACACTCTGGCCTTACCTGCTTGCCTCTACTTTACTTTATCTCTCTGTTACCACCTACTCTTTAAGATGTGTCATGTTTCCCCTGCGACATCTTCTCTTAATGGTTCCTCAGCCAAAAAGTCAGGGGAAGAGAGAAGGCTTGCCTCCCTGCTTCTCCTGGGAAAGAAAGGTTGAAAACACAGATAGGCTCTCATTGGTGATGAACTTATCCTGTTCAGAACTTTCCAACTTCTGCAGGGGCAGCACTACAAAAATTCACCCTCTTTCAGACATTCTCCTCCTCCTGAGCGAGCTTGCTGTTGCTGAGAGTCTGCTCCGTTCCTCATGTGTTGAGTGTTAATTACGCAACGTGCATAATTAACTGGAAAACTGTAGAATTTGCCATTTATTTAAAGGTTATTATTTAACATGTACCTGTCAGATAAACACGCCGGGGTGCCAAACTGAGCGTTGCTCCTCTCGCGGTTCATCGAGGGCCTCAGTACAGCATAGCAGTGACCTCTGGTGGGAAGTACAATTAATACTTCATTGGATAACAATTATTTTCAGGGCCAGACTTAATTATCTTTCTGTTTATCTTTTGATTTTGCTTAGATTAAAATGCATATACATCCTCTAATACCAGCTTGTTCTCTGTATGTGATTGTGTAAGCACAACCTGGAAGCATAAGGTCAAATTGAGTATTACCAATTATGTGTGCAGTACTGAAGAAAACGTGCATGATGGATCTTCACAGCACACTAAAAAATGCTTTCTGCCTTCTTAAACTTTGCATCAGAACTGAGTACATTGCTCCTCACAATAAAGTAATGAGATGTGCTGCCAGAGTTTACGTGTCAGAGGTTTGAGAATTCAGTGAGAGGGGGTTGTAGTTGTTGTTGATAAACTCACAAAATATTAAATCCAGCCGATCCTTGACCTGTTAAAACTGTTATTTTAATTGAATTAATTTAAATTAATTTAAATCAACATCAGTGCCACTGCAGAACCGGAGCTGTGTTGGTCAAGAGCTTGCCTATAGTCACTTCAAACATAGTTTGGGGTCTGATGATGACCAAGATGTGACTTTGTCTGCTACATCGTCACTATAGCAATGATGCTGCATTTGTTTAAAAATTTGATTCTCGTGACACAGGTTTCTTGTTGCCACAGCTGAACTGTAAGGGGTGCTGCAGTACTGGGAAAACCAAATGGTAACAAAACCATGTTTTTGTTAGCAGTTCTGACTTGGAACATGGATTTGTTGAATAGATTTGTTGAATAGAAGGCATTATTTTAATATGCACATTTCTTACCTTCATACAAGTTCTGATTATGGTTTGGGTTTTTTTTCCCTATTTTAATTTATTTTTTAATTGCCTCCATCACTGTAGTATGAGTGCATTCCATGTAAAACCAGTAGGAAGATTCATTGTAGACCTTTCTAGTCTGTAATTTTTATTTTGTGCTTAAAAAAAAAATAAAATTTAAGAGATTTAAAAAATCTTCAAGGGATACAAGCAAAATGTTCTTTAAATCTGCAGTGAAACAAAATGTTAGATGTGTATTTGAAAAAGGGGGGGAGGGGGAAAGGCAAGAAGCAAGAAAGCCCTACCCACAGGAATGAGACACGGAAAAAACCATGTACCTTCAGAAGGGAAAATACTGCTCAGACAGGCTGAATGTTTGAACCCTTAGTAAAGGAAATTTATCACTGTCATGAAGTTGGAGGCTTTAAAATGGGAGATAAGTGCACTTTGGGCAAATATCCATTAAGACAACGTTTAGATCAAGAGCTATCTTGAGAGTTCTGTGGAAATTAGCTCTGGAATTAAGCTTCTATCTCCAACTATTATGAAAAGCCACTTGCAACCTGATGATTTTTATTACGCCGTTTCGTAACAGTACGTTTTGTTTAGGAGTGTTTTGGCACAGAGCGATGCCACCTGTCGGCACCTCTCCTGGTGCCGCTGCAGTGTCCCGCGTTCCTTATTTGCAATGCAAGTGAAAGAGGTAAACGGATACATTTTGAGAAATCCAGCAGAATTCTGGCTGAATGAATCCCTGAGCGACAGTGGGGCTTTGCACACAGGAAAGTGAATACTTGCATGTATTTCCCATGCGCTTAAAGAAGCAAGGATGCCACCTGTCGGCACCTCTCCTGGTGCCGCTGCAGTGTCCCGCGTTCCTTATTTGCAATGCAAGTGAAAGAGGTAAACGGATACATTTTGAGAAATCCAGCAGAATTCTGGCTGAATGAATCCCTGAGCGACAGTGGGGCTTTGCACACAGGAAAGTGAATACTTGCATGTATTTCCCATGCGCTTAAAGAAGCAAGGCGGCGTGTGTGCCCGTCCCCTGAAACACGTTTGTGGTTACACAAGCACAACTGCAGAACGCAACAGTTAAGGAGACCTGAAGTGGTGGCTTGGATTACAGGGCTCCGCGGAGCTCCCTTCAGTAAAGGGATTTATGACTTCAGTAGAGAAATCACCTAATGAAGTGAGGTTTTTTTATTCCTGTCTCTCCGCCTCAGGGAATAGACTTCCTCTGACCTCATAATATGGAGAATTTCCTTAGCCTTAAATTATATGTTCCCTGTATGACTTTATTACCACCAGTCTTTCCTCTGGCTAGCTTGGGGAATCCGTTGTAGATGTTCCCCTGGTGTTAGTGTTGTAGCTTTGTTGGCAAAACTGATGTTCCCTGCGGGGTCTGTAATGCTTAACAATTGCTGGGTCAGCTGCTCAGAGTTTCTGGGAGTATCTGTTCTAAAACTCATTTACCAAAATCCTTTTCAGACACCAGTGTGAAAAAGTTATGATTTCTCCTCTTCCTGCTGGGAAAAAGCACAGACTTTTTTTCTTTTTTCCTCTAAGCCAGTGACTCATCAGCCCTGCAGAACTGTTTACCTGTTATGTATACAGCAGTACTTAGTGGTAAATAACTAAAAATGTCTTCTGTTTTTTCCGGGTAGAGCAGCTAAGATTATTTTTGGATGAGTGATTTAAATGTGATGATGTCCGCCCATTTTTCTGCCAGAGTGATGTGACATAGGTGGTGTCCAAGGGTTTTGCCTCAGCCCACAGGGTGTAGGCAGTGCAAATGCATGACTTGCTGTAATAAGAACAGAATCTATATCTACTGAGTACAGGAATTTCTGTTTTTCAAAGAAGAAAATACTGTTCTTTTCATCCCATGAGTTGTATAAAGCTGAAGCCTTTAAGCCAGCTGACACACGGATGAGTTTCCAGTGTCAGGCCCTGTAAAATGTGGTAACTCAGAGCTGTTTTCCAACAGCAATGGTTTGCATTATAAAAATCAAACCCTGTTTTTGAGAAATAGCTGTGGCTTGAAAAATGTTCAACTAGAAGAGCTGGAAAAACCCAAAAGGAACTTTATTCTCCGGTGTTATGTGCTGTTATGAGTATGACATTTGTATCGTTGGTCATTCTTTGCAGATGCTTCTTTTTTCACAGCAGCACTGAAGATCTTGCTTGTACAGTGCACACAAAATTAATGAGCCTGGCTGATGTACTTCCTACCGCGTTCCAAACCTGATCGCAGAAAGCCTTGTCTGCCCGCTCACTCGGGGGGATTTTGAAATGCTGTCTGGTGTAGTAGATCTCTCAGTAGTGAAAATCACGACTTCCGTTTTACTCATTTGGGGTTTTTGTATGTAAGAGGACTAATCCTCGTCTTACTGAGGTCAGGGAAAAAAGAGCTCACCATTTTATCGGCACAAGTGAAATAAAAATTGTGAGAATATTAATTTCTTACATTGAAAAATGTTTTCTGTGTTCCTAAGGAAATTTCTTATCCATTAGCATCCCAATGGAAAAGTATCTGAAATTAAGTGTATTTTCATTGAACATACTTTTCTTTGCAGTCATTAATGGCCATACACCTTGTTTACGGTTGTTGCTGGAAGTTACAGACAACCCTGACGTGACAGACGCCAAAGGACAGTAAGTGTTCCTTGTGATGGTTTTCTTTCAGCTCTGTGATTCAAACAGCATCTCAGATTTCTTACTAAAAAAGCATTTATTTGAAATACTGTATTTCCTGCACGTCGTCTTGTAGAATTTGGCAGAGATTACAAAGTGCACGTTCAGTTGATCTAAGCCATGTGGAAAGGATTATTCATTAATCTTAGCCTTTGCTTCATCCTTTAAACAATTCTTCATAGATGCTGAGGGCCAGATTCAATAAAAACTAACAAGCTCTTGAGATTTTTTTATAGAAAGTCTTTTTCTTTCTAAAACGTTGATATTTCAGGGTTTATTTGGTATACTGGGCTGGTGCAGTGAGACAGAATGTTTATTTGAGGTGACACATGAATCTGAGATGTTCCCACAAAAATTTTACTTGTCATTAAATGACAGTTATAAAGGGGAGAATTAAGTATGTTTTTAAAGTGAAAATGCGAGTGGTTTAAAAAAAACTCATTTGAGGTGCCTGGAACATATCTGACTATACATACAATTTTAAATGGTATTAGTCTTATCTAAAAATAGAAGGAGAGTAGATCCCTTTCAGAAAAAAATGGAAGATGCATGAGTCCAAATTTTGACTCGAATGGTTTCCTCATGTCCCTTCATCCCCTTTAAGCAATTGCACAGCATTTGCCAAAGAAATGCTTTGGGTTGTTGTCATCTTGGTGTAACTAGCAGGGACGTTCATTCACAACACTTGGCCATCACAAAGCTTATGTGTTGCTGGAGGTGACAATAATTGTAGGTTACTAATAGAACAAATTGTCTTGAATGATGTTGCTCTGTAAACTGCTTACAAATGAGTTTGTTTCTATTTCAGTCGTGGTAGTTGGTTGCTAAACATCTTAATAATTTCATACAAAAGGTCTTCACTTGAGTGTTACATAGATGAGTATGGTCAAAGAAACAGGTTTGTGGGTAGGAATGGAGAGAAATGCAAGGCTTCCTGATTTCTCTATTCCTATAAGTTAGCAGTGGTGAGTAGTATGTCATGTCATAGCTGTGACTGGTTTTGTTTTGTTTTGTTTTTTTCCTAGGACCCCACTAATGCTGGCAGTGGCATATGGGCACATTGATGCTGTTTCTTTACTACTTGAAAAAGAAGCATCTGTAGATGCTGCTGATCTCCTGGGATGCACAGCTTTACACCGAGGGGTAACTTGATTTTTATGATTATTAATTATTTGTTTTACTGTGACTACAACTCACTTATAAATACAGGGATATGGAATGATTGGAATATAAATACAGGGAATACTGTAAATGATTGGAAACCTGCCCAAGCACAGTCAATGAGGTAAAAAGCAGGTCAGATCTCCTCTCAGTAATGCTCTGCTCTCAACTTTATTTCACATTCACTTTAATCAGTTAGATAAAATACTGGTTAGACTAATTTTTCTTGGCTCTAGATACTTCAGTATAGCAATCATTATTTTTATAACGAGCACCCTATGAATTCCAAAAATAATTTCTTTACAAGAACTACCCAGCAGTTATTTTCATTTTTCTTGGGGGGGATGGCCCAAATAAGTAAGCCTTAAGTTTTGATGTGGAGCTAGTGAAACTCTAGGCAGATCTAATCTTTTCTAGGAGTCAGGTTCTTACCCAATGTGAAGTTGATGAAAGAGATAATATTTATACAGAATTCTATGGGAAGAGCAGTGAGCAGTTCATCTTAGAAGTCCAGCACAAGTGTGTAATAAAAGCTGTGGCATAAAATTTCTGTTCTGTACGGATACAGAACATGTACAGATACATGAACATGACAAAGATACCAGAGCTAGCCTATGTATGATACGAAGGTCACTAGTAGTAGCCGGCCAGCTGTTAAAACAGCTTTTCATATTTCTGATTATATTCTTGATCCCTTTTTTCCCTCAGTTCTTCTCTCACATTCATACATGGCTTTGAGAAGCCAGACTCAGGTTTTCTGAACCTCACCTCCCGTTCACCTGTTTCCTTAGTCTTAAACACCTCCTTGCTTTTGTGTCTTGCTTGATGGAGTCACTTCCACAGTCTAGGAATCAATGCCTCTGAAAGACAGCACCAAATAACTTTCGGTGTATCTGTTATCATAGGTACTCATGGGAGCAAAGGACCTCTCATCTCTGCCTTCTGAATCCCATGCAGTTTCATGTTCACGGGCATCAATCATATTCCGTACTTCCTGGGCAAGAATCTGTATTATATCAACCTCTTTACTCATTCCTTTGTTACCAGATTATGACTGGGCATGAAGAGTGTGTTCAGATGCTGTTGGAGAAAGAAGTGTCTATCTTATGTAAAGACGCCAGAGGCAGAACACCTCTGCACTTCGCAGCAGCGCGGGGTCACGCCACGTGGCTGAGTGAGTTACTGCAGATAGCGCTGTCGGAGGAGGACTGCAGTTTCAAAGATAATCAGGGCTACACACCACTGCACTGGGCTTCTTACAACGGTAAGTTTCTCCCTGTGGACTTCTACCAAGTTCAAATGGGGTCTCAGTTTTAGGGAAACATGATAACAAAGCAGCCTAACGCTTTGAGAAGCTTGAGATGAAGAGGCGGATTATCCCCTGTCCACTTGCTCTCCGTAGCTAGTGTGTGCTATGTTCGCCCTTCAGTTCAGAAGCCAGGGAAATTCCAGCAATACCTCCCAGTGGCTTTGCAGCTCATTTGCTCCCAGTCACAGTAGGCCAGGGTGAAATTCTGGTTTCACTGACATCAGTGGTGAAAATCTCCTTGATTTCTGTGGGGCCAGGAATGCTCCTTTGAGGTGTCACCTTCTTACTCATTGACCATGTGAATTGATGGATATTCTAAACTGGATAATCTGAACTTGTTGCTTGATATATGGATAAAGCTTCCTAATACCATCATTTAAGACCATCTTTGTAGATGTGTAAGGTGACATACATAACATCACATAAAAAAGAGACCTTTTTTTCCTTCCTTTTTTTTTTTTCAGTGACTGCTAATACAAGCCTGGATCTATCTTGCTGCTGCCATTAAAAAAAAAAGAAAATAATTGTAGTGGTTTTAGGCTGATCCAGCAACTAAAACTCACACAGTCTCTCCTTCTCCAGTAAAGTAGAGAGGAGAGAAAATTAAAAAAAAAAAAAAACAAAAAACCAAAGGAACTGAGGGTTGAGACAAGAACAGAGGGAGCACCCACCAACCATGGTCCTGGGCAAAACAGGCAGAGCTTTTCTCAAAGCAAAACAGTTTATTAATGATTACTTAGAAGGACAAAGGGAAACAAAAACCGATTACTTGAGAGGACAGAAAGAAACAAAACCAGATCTTAAAACCGACCCCTTCCCCCCCCCAGCTTTTCCTCCCGGCTCTACCTCCTCCCCCCAGCAGCACAGGGGGCAGGGACTGGGGGAGTGCAGGTCAGTTCATTCCGTGCTGTTACTGCTGCCTCTTTCTTAAAGGAGAAGGAGTCCTTACACCCTTTTCCCCTGCTCCAATGGATCCCCTACCCACGAGGAAAAATCCATAAACTTCTCCAACGTGAGTCCAGCCCACTGG